CACCCCTGTGCTTTTTCCACCATGAAGTTGCAGGGGAGACCTTCAGTCACATGTCTTTATGTCTTCCTCAATCCTATGCAGCCTGGAAACATGGCTGTCAAAGGAGCAAAGATATTAGAGGGGCGCTCTGTGCTTACAGTAGTTTAATTTATAAAAAAGCCAGCAGGGTCTGACATAGCAGAGCTAATCTGCTCAGGAATGCCTCAGAGGGCTCTTTAGTGTGTGGTAATATGGATAATAGAGAGCAGGGTGAAAAGAGAGTGTGGAGTGCTGCTGGCGTTTTGGGCAGCAGAAGAAAGGTTGGAGGTGTTAGCAGCTGTCACACATACTGAGGTGCAGGCATTTGTGCGCTTATATAACGTGTGTGCTGTTATTGAGGTGGCGGAAGAGACTGCCAGGCTCTGCTTATGGACACAGAGAGCAACCATAGGACACAAGTGACTGACATCAGAGCTCCTCCCATTCCCTTTTTTGAGATGTACTAGTGAGACTGAGACAGGGGTCCCTATGAAAACAAACCAGTCAATAAAGGACAAGGTCTCCAACGCCCACAGAAGTGAATCATTCACAGACAATTTGTTCCGGTGCAAACAGCCGTGTGAGAATATGCGACACAACACTTTGAATCTCTGGGACTCGTCACATTCAGCAAACAGCCAACGTCGTTTTATGTTTAAATAAAAGATGGAAATGATTCAGGTTGAAACTAGCAAACAGACATCCAGGATACGCTGAACCCAAAACACTGAAAAGTCTCCTCACGTTTTACCGTCACTTATTAGTACAACAAACAGAAACAGCAGCAGATATGGCTGCATTAAAAAAAAGAAAAGAAAAGGCATGATACATTTGATTTTGTTTTCTTGGTGCTGAGCAATCTGGTTTTCATTTCAATAGAGTTATTAACCATGAGCAAGACTGCTTCCATCCGTCAGTCAGAAATCACCTGGCCTTATTTTGGTGCATGGAGCACTGTTGTCACTAAAGCTAGGCTAATGCTAAGTCATTACTGTCTCTCAACAAAAACACTGTCTGTCTAATAACCAGTGTTGGTCAAGTTACTTGAAAAAAGTAATCAGTAACTAATTACTGATTACTCCCCCAAAAA